AGCACCCCCTCTCATCATCTTCTTCCCCCCTCTCCTCCAACCCCTCTTTCTCCTAGTGCAATCACCACATCCTATAGCCAATTAGGAAACATGGGTATTAGCCTAATTATGCTGAGCGAGGGCAGCATATTAAAAGCTACACTTTCATTGTCCACTCTGACAAGCTCCAAGACTTACTGTCAACCGGTACTAAGTCTGACCCAGTGGTTCTAACACTCTTTACTGTTGCTAAAGCTACAGTAACACCATATAAATTGAGTTATACCAATTACCGAAGAGAGGTGTTATTATGTGGTTATATATAGGCCTACCATCTATGTGATTGAAAAGAGGCAATTGATAAGGGTAAAACTCCAATGAGAGTGTAGTAGCTACTCTCTGGGTTTTTATAGAATTGAGGCATTGGAGTAGGCTGTTTGGATAAACATATATTCTTTCTGATTTATTGAAGTTGAAAAGGTTTTACAGTTAGATTGTTTTTAATTGCACAATGAATTGACATGCAAAATCAAAATATGGCTCCAACGAAAAGGTGAAGCCCAAGGAGAAACATTGATAAGTACGCCCTGCGCACCAGAGTTCACACCTTCGCGGATGTTGGCCTACATGAACCACAATTACCCGTCATTCCCTGGTAATCCTCAAACTCTTTACAACAAAACCCACAGTCACTATTCTTGCATTTCCATTTCTGTCCTATTCTTACATGTATTATTTACTTGGTGGCCTGGCTGCAACCTGGCTATGCCTTCTCGCAGTCAGGGTCAGTGACAGTCAACCTCATTTCCAAACTAATGAACACAGGGCTTCTATTACTTAGCCAACGTCACAAGGACAGCTCTGACCCCGCCTCAGTTCCGACACACACCAACTATTATGTGGAGCAAAAGGCAAAAAAACAACTCAGCAAATAATTAAATATAGACACCCAGAGGTTTCCCGTTTCACTCCAGAGCCCAAAGTAGATTGAGTGTTGCGTTTCCAAATGCGTGAATGTGATACTGTATGTGCGCTGAGTAATGACAATACTACCGCTCGCGTGGCATGAAATATTAAGAGAGGAACAAGTTAGGTTGTGGCTATATACTGCACCGAACAGGCTTGCAGTGCCGCTCATCTAATTTATCACGTAGGTTTACAAAAAAAATGCTGATTTCATGCTCACACATACACACAAAGGTGTTAACAAATGCCAAACGGTGTGCCAACAGCTTGAACATCAATGGTGCACCAATCTAAGAATGAGAATGCTGAGCCAGTTGAAGAGTGCCTTGAGCTATGGTTGCTGACACAGGTTTTATTTATTATCATTGTGGGTGTTCTTATAGGAAATAGGTTGTAGTATGTAGGCTATGACAGACGATAAAGGCGCAATGCGCAATTTTCACCTTTACGCCTACACTGTAACAGAAAACTGTAAATTATACTGTAATTTTATGTATTATCAATAGTAACATTTTCTGAAATTTTTTACTGCAGCATACTGTAAATTATGGTGTATTGTGTGAAAATGTTGTGGGTGGGGAAATATTTGCTGTATTTCGAATTGTACTGTATTTCCACCCCACCATACTGGAAAGCCAAAAACTTTTTGACCACTAGTGGGTGCATGGTATTGTTGTTTCTTGCTCATTAACATATTTTGAGGCATGCCTTGTAAGAGGCTATATTTGTTGCATGAGTGAGTGAGAGTGAGAATGCTGTACCAATTTAACTCATATGTGGTTATAGTGCCCCATCAATTAAACATAGGTGAGAGATTGGAGCAGCCCGGTCTCATAAACTAGACATAACATAGTAAATGTAAATTTGAGACACTCAAATTAGTATGCTATGTTACGTTTGGTATGGTTACATAAGACAGATGGTTACTAAAGGCAAAAATTAAAGTAGAGTGGTTGAGTGGGCATATAATGCAAACTTCTAGCAACCCAAAGGTTGCGAGTTCGAATCTCATTACAGACAACTTTAGCATTTTAGCTAATTTGCAATTACTTAGCATGTTAGATAACCCTTCCCCTAACCCTAACCTTAACCATTTTAGCTAACTCTTCCCTAACCTTAACCCTTTTAGCTAACCCTTCCCCTAAACCTAACCTTAACCCTTTAACCTAACTCCTAAACTTAACCCTAACCTCTAACCTAGCAACCTAGCTAGAATTAGTAACATTTCATACGTTTTGCAAATTCGTAACATTTTGTACGTTTTGCAAATTCCTAAAATATTGTACGTTTTGCAAATTTGTAACACATAATACGATTGTAATTCGTAACATATCATAAGAAATGGGTGATGGACATCCACAAATTAATGCATACCATACGAAACGTAAGATATCATACTAAATGGAATGTCCCGGAATTACATACAGAATAATACAAAATGCTCTGAGACCAGGTTGATTGGAGTGGCAGCAAGTCTTAAACCTTTAATGGTCCTCTGTAGCTCAGCTGGTAGAGCACGGCACTTGTAACGCCAAGGTAGTGGGTTCGATCCCCAGGACCACCCATACACAAAAATGTATGCACGCATGACTGTAAGTCGCTTTGGATAAAAGCGTCTGCTAAATGGCTTATTATTATTATTTTGCCATGTCCTTTTGGTCTGTCTTGCCCTGTAGTCACTGACAGTTTGGAAACCTTTGTTAAGGCCTCTAGAAGTGCAAGTCATATAAAACTCATTAATATGCTATGTTTGTAAACACTTTACCTAGCAGCCAAACTGCTTGCACCAATCCCTTATAATTACAGTAAAATACTGTGAAATACAAATCCTTCCCTTCAACTAATTTAATTCATCCATTCATTAATTCCGATTCCGGTAGCATTTACTTTTTTACAGTATAATACAGACATGTACTGTGTGTCATTACAAAGTGCTTGCTTTGATACCATATTACAGTAGGTGTACTGTACTGTAATATGAAATACAGAATTTGACTTGCCATGGAGCTGCCTGGTAACCCCTTTACAGTGTAGGTTTAATATGTTCTTTAGATAGTCCATACATTTTAGGCCAGTTGTACAAACCAAACAGGCTCATATGGCTCATGGTAGGCTAAATGACAGCTCATCGATCCGTTTTACAAAAGAGGCACACTTATCAGCAATGTTTTGGTTGAGAGTGCACACGCTATGACTGTTCAAGAATGGCTATGCGTTTATGATAAATAATGCACTATTGACATGTAGTTAAATCGTTTTTTCTGTTTTTAAATCAAACGTTATCTGCTACATAAAAAAAAACAGTATTTCTTGAAGTCTCCAACAGCGTCGTCATTGGCACTGTCCCTTAGAGTTTCACGAGACAGTTCCTGCAAGGGTGTATCTAAAACGTGGCATAAGCGTTATGATTTAAGCAAGTTTACAGTGCAAAACGTCTTCAATAAAGCATGAACAAAATATATAACTCACCATATACTTCCTACAGGTCAAGCGAACAGTTCAAATGTGCCCAATGTTGTGTTTCTTTTCTCGTCTATCTCCTCTGCTTTGAGACCCCCCAAAAAAACTTTCCAAACTAGGGCTGCAGGATCTCTTCCGTGATTTAGTTTTTTCTTAAACTTTTTCCCCTGACAAGTCAAAGGGCGTGTACCTGGGAGAGTGCAAAAAATACTTTGGGAATGTGGAAGAGAGACATAACACAACTTTTTTATGAGGGGGTAAAAATGTGTATCAACCTTGGAACTTATTTTCTCTTTATTCTATCTTTGGCATGTGGTGCTAGTTTATGTCGTGTGATTTGTATTGTTCCACGCCAATAATTCGAGTATGAGGGATATTCGGATTCATAGAAGGCTGGGAAGAGGAGACAGAGACTGATTGAGTGTTGAGTTGCTTTTAACCCTTTATATCCAAAATTGACTTCCAGTTTCATTTTATGAAATGAACACACGTTTAGCCTTACGCCTCGATCACACCGACAGTGTCATTCCCCTCATACACCTAGGCTCAAGGGAGTGGCAACTGCCACAGAAGGATATCCAGACCACTCCAGGACCACTGCAGTGAAATGCATGTGCTCACACACACACACACACCTTTGATCCCATTTAGAAGTCTTGCCCAATCTCTAGCCCTGAGGGAGTGTGTCATGCTGTATCAGTGTTTGTCATTGTTTGTTGGTGCTGACACAGTCATTTGTCAGCGTCACACCCACACTGGCACCTTGTTCTGTTTAATTAGGATACAAAGTCCACAGTCTGATGCCCAGTATCAAAATTGCAATGGAAACGTCTAATTCCCCATATAGTGCACTATTTTTGACCATTCACTAAACAAACACAATTTACATGTAATTAAACAATAGAGTACAGGGACAGGCAGTATTTGTACAGACACCAAGGAACTTTCCTGTATCCAATGTATTGTTGTTGACCTAGGATAAAACGTAGACTGGTAATGGAGACACAGAGATGGTAGCTAGCAGCAGGGATGTAGACTGCACTTACATCACTGTGTAACGATTGGAAAGGCAGCTTTGTATAGGCATTATGAACCCTTATGGAACAGGATCGTTGTAACTCATGTAATTGTGGGAGCAGTATAGTGTTACTATCCAATTATGCTATTAAATAAAGGTTGTAATACACCCACACTAAATGAGAGGATGTACAAAAGGGTGGTGGACAGGGCTAGACTGGGACCAGAAATCGGCCCCGGCATTTCTAACACACAGGCCCATTTTCCCCCTCTAGGCCTCCAACCCCCCATTTAGACAGGCCCACTGATCTAAAGGCGGACCAGCTCATCTGCCTTTTGCCAGAATTGCTCTATAGCCAGTCCGTCTCTGAGTAATGGATGTCAGTGAACCAAAAGAGACAGAAGGAGAGTTAAGACAATGGATCCTTTTATTCAAAGGTGCCTGCTTTAGAAAATGATCAACTAAATCATTGTCAATTCAGATCAAAAGCTTGCCACACAGCTACATACAGGATAATTTAATTGCACATTGCAATTTGCTACACATCCAACGGAATCCCACACATTGTTTTTATTGGCTAAAAGCCCCCTTGCTTGTTGGCAAGTTTTCCAATCAGCTGCCAGAACTCCAGAAATGTCAGCTCCCCGTCGTTGTTTTCATCCAATGAGCCCATGAGCTGCTCGATCGCACCTGGATCAATGGCATTCTGCAGGCAATCAGAGAGGAGAGAGGGGACAGAGACCCATTCAGGCCCAGACTGGGTTAGCAATGAGCTGCAAGGAAAGGCTACTCTGCCATCTAATGGTCAAGAATACTACAGTACTATAGATCATATGGCATTGAGTCTGAGTTCGACAACTTTGGTTGCAAAGTATAATTTTGCAGAATAAAATGGAAGGAGGTTTATGCCAGAGCAAATATCAGTGACTACGTCCCAAATGGCACCCTATTCCCTATATAGTGCACTACTTTGGATGTGTGCGTATGTGTGTGTTTGGGTATGCAAGCTCATCCGAGAGCAATAGAAATGGCACAGAAAAGGATTTGGCCTGCTATCACTCACATACAGTGCCTTCGGAAAGTATTCAGACCCCTTGACTTTTTCCACATTTTGTTAAGTTACAGCCTTATTCTAAAATGGATTAAATAATTGTTTTTCCTCAGCAATCTACACACAATACCCCATAATGACAAAGTGAAAACAGGCTTTTAGATTTTTTTGTAAATGTATAAAAAAACTAAAACTGAAATACCTTATTTACATAAATATTCAGACCCTTTGCTATGAGACTCTAAATTGAGCTCAGGTGCATCCTGTTTCCATTGATCATCCTTCAGATGTTTTTACAACTTGATTGGAGTCCACCTGTGGTAAATTAAATTAATTGGGCATGATTTGGAAAGGCACACACCTGTCTATATAAGGTCCCACAGTTGATAGTGCATGTCAGAGCAGAAACCAAGCCATGAGGTCGAAGGTATTGTCCGTAGAGCTCAGAGACAGGATTGTGTCTAGGCACAGATCTGGGGAAGGGTACCAAAACATTTCTGCAGCATTGAAGGTTCCCAAGAATACAGTGGCCTCCATCATTCTTAAATGGAAGAAGTTTGGAACCACCAAGACTCTTCCTAGAGCTGGCCGCCCGGCCAAACTGAGCAATCAGGGGAGGAAGGGCCTTGGTCAGGGAGGTGACCAAGAACCCGATGGTCACTCTGACAGAGCTCTAGAGTTCCTTTGCTTAATCGCTGCAAAAGGTGCTTCAACAAAGTACTGAGTAAAGGGTCTGAATACTTATGTAAATGTGATATTTCCGTTTATTTTTAATACATTTACACACATTTCTAAAAAACTGTTTTTGCTTTGTCATTATGTTTTTTTTATTTTTAAAGGCTGTAACGTAACAAAATGTGGAAAAAGTCAAGGGGTCTGAATACTTTCCGAATGCACTGTATATGATGCTTGTTATCAGGCTGTCATTCAGCCACTCACTCACTGCTCTAGATAATAATGTATTGCGAAATGGATGCCAAGTATTAAGTGGGTGTTGAAGAGGACTAAGACTACGTCCCAAATGGTACCCTATTCCCGATGTAGTGCACTACTTATGACCATTTACCTTGACAAAAGTAGGTAGTTGAGAGGCCACCAGGCTGCTGAACTCCCCTTTGTTCAGGGTGTTTGAGGATCCATCATTCCCAGCAAAGGTCTTGAACTGTGGGACAAGTACGTTGATGGCAGATTCTATTGTATTGATTTGGTATGGAGTAGTTGACTGCAAATACATGAGAGAAAGAAACAAGTCTGCTTATAAAGTCTATAAATATTATTACAATGTTTTATCCATTGTAGAAAGAGACTGAAATAAAGCCAGCAACTAAATCATGAAAAACCAGAAAACCACATGAAATCAGATTCAGAGAGAGGAAAGACAAAACCGTTTTAAAGGAAAACCAGTCATATGTCGTCCCACCTGATGAGGTATGGTCTGGTTGCAGCAGCCAGCAGGTATGGAGAATCTTGTCTTGTCCCTCCACTCTTTCCTCTCCTCTTTTATAGTCTCCATCCTCTTTACTATGTAGCTAGGCCTAGTGCGGAGACCCAGTATTAGAGCCTCTGTCTGACCAGGTGTTTGAGGTATGTAGAATGATAGGTATGACAGCCTCTGCGGCTTCAAAGTGTTGGACAGGAAACATCCATCATTACTGACAGTTTTACTAATCAGTTAATCTTGTCAGGATCAGTCCAGTCTCATTGGTTCAGTCACTCATAAATTACGTCCCCAATGGCATCCTATTTCCTATATAGGCCACTTGTATAGGGCCCTGGTCAAAAGTAGTGGACTATAAAGGGAATAGGGTGCCATTTGGGACACACCCACAGTCCTAAGGGTGTGTGTTACGTGTGGACATGCACGTGATGATCATGTGCATGTTTCTTAGAGGATCTTACACGGTTGTATTATTATTTACAAGGGATTAGTCTTTGTCATAAATACCTTTGTCTAGTAATGTGGACGCACCAAAAGATTCATTCCACACATTTCTGTACTTCCCCCTCCTCCGCCAGTAGCCTAAGTGACGCACACTTAAGCCTTGTTCAAACTGCCTTAATGCTCAAATCAGTTTTGTTTTTCAAATTTGTTTTGGAATACTGATTGTCCAAACAGCAAGTTACAAGTGACCAAATCGGATATATGCGTGTTCAGACAGCAGTCATTTGCTGATATGGCTACGCTAGTTGTCATAGTAACGACAGGTGTGTGCGCATTGGTGTAGGCTAATTGGTGGTGGTGCTCGTGCTTCCTATCACTCAGAAGTTTTGTAGCAAGCTAAGGTGACAATGTCTACCATGGACGTTTCCTAGTTGCTTTGAATGTTCAAAATCATAGTGTAAGAACACCTAAAACCTGAAAGGATAAGATGATCCAACTTTTAAAACAAGTCCTTTTTGGCTAGCCACAGCAGTCACTAGCTAGGTAGCTGTTTAGCTTTCTAGCACATGCACCAATTTGTTTGTAAACAATCAACAAGCTAGTAGTCACCCATATTCTTGTCAAACTGTCAACAGAGTAGCAAGCAACAATATATACCAAATAACAGTCTAAAAACCACTGGAGGGCAAACAAATCAGATTTGACACATGGCTAGGAATCAGATTTGTATCTGATTTCAAACTACCTACAAAGGTGGTTTGAAATGTGGCTTGCGATATCCGATTCCACCCCCTTTCCATGTGCTTTTTGTCTGTTCACACTGGCAGTTTGAAGCAACTCAAATCCAATGTTTTTGCATTGTAAAAGAACATTTTGAACATATATCCTCCACTTGAATGAATAACTAAAAAATAAGTATGTTTTTTTTAATATACTCTGAAAATGTAATCGTGTGCATTTGGAGAGTTAAACTTAATTTCCTCATTTTATGCTGTTTGTTTATAATCTCTCGTTGCTTATTATTTTAAGTATTTATCCACATCATCGCTAGACTTCTTTGGTCAAAAAGCTTGAACAATTCATTTACAGGTTTTAAATTCAACCAAAAATATCTGAAAGATTACTTACTATATCTAATTAAATTCACAAATGGAGTACCGGATCATAACCAATCAAGTGAAAAAAATTGCTTGAATTCTTAAGCTTACAGAATCAAACCAATTTAGTTGTCTGTCAAACACTGTCAATCCAAGTGTGAAAATGGACTTATAAATAAAAGGCACATAGCTGGCAGAAACAAAATCGTCACAAAATGTCAGACTTTCAAGCAATTTCTTTCACATGATATACTGTCTGGGACATTTGACATTTGAACAGCTAATGTTGGTTTGATGTTAAAATGATAAATGTGTCGTTGAGGCCAGGACAAGCAAAATTAGGGACTAGTCTTATAGTTCTTCAAAAAACACAAATAAGCTATGAAATCCTGAACGCCTAATGTAATTGATACAGTGAGTGTGACAACAGTTAACATAAAAACAAGGGAAACAGTCATCCTGAAATGTGTACAGGTTCAACTCTTGTAAAGTACCAACAATTACTTTTAATATGTACCAATGCCATAACCTTGTACTTAGTTTGACTTTGAAATCTGGCGTGAACTCAATGTAAATGGCATTGCTTGACAGAACATCAGTTAAACTGATCTCATATAGACACATCCCAAAATCGTGTTACTGGGTATTTTCCAGGTTACAGCACAGTACTCAAAATAACTTTAAAAGGAAAATGCAACCAATAACAGTGCTCAAAATGTGTCAAAAACAAATAGTTCAGATGCGTCAAATTGCCAATATGGCTTTGCACTCCTTTATCTACAGTGGGGAGAACAAGTATTTGATACACTGCCGATTTCGCAGGTTTTCCTACTTACAAAGCATGTAGAGGTCTGTAATTTTTATCATATGTACACTTCAACTGTGAGAGATGGAATCTAAAACAAAAATCCAGAAAATCACATTGTATGATTTTTAAGAAATTCATTTGCATTTTATTGCATGACATAAGTATTTGATCACCTACCAACCAGTAAGAATTCCGGCTCTCACAGACCTGTTAGTTTTTCTTTAAGAAGCCCTCCTGTTCTCCACTCAGTACCTGTATTAACTGCACCTGTTTGAACTTGTTACCTGTATAAAAGACACCTGTCCACACACTCAATCAAACAGACTCCAACCTCTCCACAATGGCCAAGACCAGAGAGCTGTGTAAGGACATCAGGGATAAAATTCTAGACCTGCACAAGGCTGGGATGGGCTACAGGACAATTGGCAAGCAGCTTGGTGAGAAGGCATCAACTGTTGGCTCAATTATTAGAAAATGGAAGAAGTTCAAGATGACGGTCAATCACCCTCGGTCTGGGGCTCCATGCAAGATCTCACCTCGTGGGGCATCAATGATCATGAGGAAGGTGAGGGATCAGCCCAGAACTACACGGCAGGACCTGGTCAATGACCTGAAGAGAGCTGGGACCACAGTCTCAAAGAAAACCATTAGTAACACACTACGCCGTCATGGATTAAAATCCTGCAGCGCACGCAAGGTCCCCCTGCTCAAGCCAGCGCATGTCCAGGCCCGTCTGAAGTTTGCCAATGACCATCTGGATGATCCAGAGGAGGAATGGGAGAAGGTCATGTGGTCTGATGAGACAAAAATAGAGCTTTTTGGTCTAAACTCCACTCGCCGTGTTTGGAGGAAGAAGAAGAATGAGTACAACCCCAAGAACACCATCCCAACCGTGAAGCATGGAGGTGGAAACATCATTCTTTGGGGATGCTTTTCTGCAAAGGGGACAGGACGACTGCACCGTATTGAGAGGAGGATGGATGGGGCCATGTATCGCGAGATCTTGGCCAACAACCTCCTTCCCTCAGTAAGAGCATTGAAGATGGGCCGTGGCTGGGTCTTCCAGCATGACAACGACTCAAAACACACAGCCAGGGCAACTAAGGAGTGGCTCCGTAAGAAGCATCTCAAGGTCCTGGAGTGGCCTAGCCAGTCTCCAGACCTGAACCCAATAGAAAATCTTTGGAGGGAGATGAAAGTCCGTATTGCCCAGCGACAGCCCCGAAACCTGAAGGATCTGGAGAAGGGGTGGCCCAAAATCCCTGCTGCAGTGTATGCAAACCTGGTCAAGACCTACAGGAAACGTATGATCTCTGTAATTGCAAACAAAGGTTTCTGTACCAAATATTAAGTTCTGCTTTTCTGATGTATCAAATACTTATGTCATGCAATAAAATGCAAATTAATTACTTAAAAATCATACAATGTGATTTTCTGGATTTTTGTTTTAGATTCTGTCTCTCACAGTTGAAGTGTACCTATGATAAAAATTAAAGACCTCTACATGCTTTGTATGTAGGAAAACCTGCAAAATCGGCAGTGTATCAAATACTTGTTCTCCCCACTGTATATGTCTATCTCAGCACAACATAGTACACTGAGCTATTAGAATCGATTCCTGCCACATTAGGACAGTACAATCATGGTCTCAGTGTGAATTAGTAGTAAGAACTACTGCTTGTGTCAAAGTGATTGAGGCAGCAGTACTGGGCCTCCATCCTGACTTGGCAGGACACCTTCTGCTTTCATTAAATGTTCCAGAATGTTCTGCTTTCACCGACAGTTATACTCAAATGGTAAGACAATTAGTAAAAACCAGAAACCAAGCACTAAGGGCCTATACACAGCACTGTATGTTTGCAGAGCTGATACAACAGAAGCTAACAGAGCTGATACAGAACCGGTTCAACTAGATCTGATCCTAACGATGACAACATAGAAGAGACTGATCAGCAATCAGTTGATGTGGGAGCATAAAGTTCACATTGCTGTGAATCTTATCCTGTTTTGATCTTGAACTGCGACATTACATTTTTATAAAGTGCCAAACACTGTAGGCAAATCAACTCCACACAACTGTCAACATGTAGGACTTGGCATTAAAGACATGACATGAACTGACATAGGGAGGTAACGACTTCAGCTAATTACAGATGCAGAGCTAGGGACATGTTTACGAGATGCAAGATCACTCCTTGTGCCGGAAGCCTTAAAACACCTGCTGTAAACCACCATGTAATACCATTGCTGTATCTTGGTTTTCCATTATCTATCTATGTAGTGGCTGTAAACTTCCACAAAGCTTCTCGCTCAAACTCCTCCATCGTCTCCTCCAGGGCTTCATCATCCCGCCCATCAACCTCCAAAATGTCCACCATGTCCTCTAAAATGTCCGCCACATCTTCAGCGAAGTCACTGAAGAGAACTTTGTCATGGACGAACACACCGTCTCTAAAAAACATGGCGGCCAGCTTCTGGATCTCGGCCTTGCTGTCCGATGTAGCCCTCTCCAGCTTGCTCAGGTAGCCGTCTAACAACTCCTCAAATTCAGACAGTTCCACGGGAAAGAGTCCTTCCTGGCTAGCGCAGTCCTCAACACTGCTGCAGCCCGCCAGGGGGCGAACGTTGCGTCCGAGTTTCTCCTCCTGGTGCTTCCAGAAGCTTGTGTGTTCATACAGGTGGGGCTGATGTTGCTCCTGATGGTTGGAGTCTTGTTCATGGTGATGATCAGTCTTTTTCTTGTAGTCTTTCCTGGACTGCCAGGGCCTCTCCTGCTTTCTTTTATCCCTGTCCATCCTGCGCTCGTTCTTCTCTCTCTCCCACTCATCCTGGGATTTCCCCCAGGCCTCTTTATGAGAGTTTTCTTTGTTTGCCTTCCAGTCCCTCTCCTTTCTCTCGTCTTTCTCCTTCCATCTGCCCTCCTTGTCTTTGCCGTGTTTCCAGTCCTTCTCTCCTTTCCACGCCTTCTTCTCTTCCTTTTTCCAGTGGTCTTTGCTGTTGTCCTTGCCTTTCTTCCCGTCCTTCTTGTTCCCGCTCTCCCATGGCTTTTTCTTGCCCTCACTCCTCTTCCCCATCTTCTCCACCTGCTCACTGAGCCTCCTCTGGATCTCAGCCAGGCTCTCCCTCACCCTCTTCTGGTACCCTTCATCCTTCTTGTTCCCATCCTTCTTCATCCCTTCCAGTCTCTTCCTGCTTTCCTCCAACAGCACCTTCTGCCTCTGAAGCTCTTCCTTCACCCTGGCCCCCTCTCTCGGGTCACTCCTCCTTTCAGGCCCTGTTGTGGTGCTACTCTGGTTGCTAATCCCAGGTTGGCCAGTAGGTGGTGGAGTTGGGCTTGAGGGCAGTGGGGGTGTGTCCTGGTTGGCTGAGGTAGACATATCAGAACAAATCAGTGAGTTACAGAGCATTCAGCTACCAAACCAGATGATTGTTACATGCATGTTGAAGCAGAGATTCACAACAATAACAAAACCTACACTGAACCATACAGATCACTTTGATCAGGGTGAGGGTAAATTCAAATTGAAGGCAGTCAATTCATGAATTTATTTGAATAAAATTAAAATGGCTCAGCTGGTAGAGCACGGCGCTTGTAACGCCAGAGTAGTGGGTTCGATGCCCGGGACCACCCATACACAAAAATGTATGCACGCATGACTGTAAGTCGCTTTGGATAAAAGCGTCTGCTAAATGGCATATTATTTATTATTATTAAATGGAACAACTTGAAATAAATAGCTTCTAGCTTATTGAGAATTCATTGGAATTTCAGTTTACTTCCTTAATTGACTGCCTTATTATAAACATTTACCAAAATATTGACTTCTATGTATACATTATCAAACAAATGATGAAAGGCACTAATGCATAATTAATGAATTCACAGTGAGATGAAAATACTATACCTGCAGTGAGTCGGGACAGTTCGGTCACTCTGGCCCTCAGCGACTCCAGCTCCTCCTTCAAGCCAGGCAGGGACGACAGCTCTTCTTTCATAGTATTTTCTTGCTCCAGATCTCCTTTTCCGTTTTCATTACCCGTTGCTGATCTTGCATTTAGTGCTGAGTCAAGTTCTTCTTTATGGGCCTGTAACAGAGAGGGGAAAAAAGTTGCTTCATTCTTAGAACGATAGGACATAATAATAAATAAGGATTCTAAAAATATTTCTTAAATGTAAAATAATTAGGCCATGGGATCCTACTATTTCGGGATCTTTTAGATCCGTAGCTTCCCGAAGCGAAGAGTATGTGCGGATCATGTGTGTATTCTCTACTTTACACACAGAAAACAGGCTACTCAGGCAAATGGTGCTTGTTTAATAAAATTCGATCAAAACTGAATTAGTCTGCAAGATCACATAATGATCACAGTAATTACATAACAGAACCAAATATAATAGTAATTATGAAATGTAGAATACTGTGATCATTATGTGATATTGCAGACATTAATTCAGCTTTGATCTAACTTTATTAAATGAGCACAATTCACTTGAGTAGCCTGTTCTCGGCGCGTAAAGTAGAGTATACACACATACTCTTCGCGTCGGGAAGCTCTGGATCTTTTAGTCCAGTGGACTGAAGATCCCGAAAAAGTTGGATCCGCAGCCACTCCGAAATAATTATATGGTACATGGGCTGACCTGGAGCTGTGTTTCTAACTGGGAGATTTGCAGATTTTCTTGTGTCAGTTTATCCAAAAGCTCCTTCATCTTCTGAGGATCGTCTAGCCAGTCCTGTCCAGCAGAATACAAATCACAGACAATCAACAACACAGCATTATAAATAAGCAAACATTGTAAAGCAAAGATTGGAACTATGCATACCTTATAAAAGTTTAGTCTAATAAGGAAGATGTTAATGGATGATTTAAAAGGGTCAATCAGCCATTGCTACATCAATTTCTTGACTTTTAAATTATATATACCCTTAGATTTTTGAAAAATAACTTGGAAATGTCTCATGAGCTTAGTTCAACTGTCATACCCCATCAGAAACCAAAATATAAGCTTGTTATACTCCAATGTAAATTGTAAATACTGTATAGCCTTAAAAGATGGATAAAACTATAATTTGGATCTCATGAATGGTCAGTCCTTGAGTCCATAGCTCTGTGTATGAATTTAAGAGTTAAATTTCTCCAGCCCCATCCCTCAGCCATTTACCAAAACAGTGACAGCATGGTCGCTTTGTTGTCGTTTGAACAGCAGATTGCCCCTTAAATATAATTATATTACACATTATTCTCTAAGTTTGTCCAGTTCCTTTAACTTCCATCCCAATACAACATTGTTGAAAGGTAGGCGGTAGGATAGAGGAACATACCTGGTTTTGTTCTGCCCCACTCAGCTCGTCCGAGTCATCTGTCAAAAAAGAAAACAATACAACAAACAACATTTACATTTTAGTCATTTAGCAGACGCTCTTATCCAGAGCGACTTACAGTTAGTGAGAGCATACATTAATTTTTTTCATACTGGCCCCCCGTGGGAATCGAACCCACAACCCTGGCGTTGCAAGCGCCATGCTCTACCAACTGACAAACAACATTTTCCAAACTTATGTAACGTATATTAAGACACCTGCATATATTTTATCATACAAAATGCAAAGCCCATTTTGAACTACTCCACCCAGAGCGTACAATTGTTGGGAAGTTATTTGAGTATTTGCACAGTCTCTGACCACTTGCATGCCCAACCAAGCATTTTCCTATTATGGGTTACGTACTCAACTTGGCCACCCAAAAATCCAGTCGTTGATACTTTACTGTAAGTCTACTGTATAGGCAAGCTGCCATGTGCAGTGCACGAAGGGTGAGACAGGATTAGCGCTTGGGCGAGTGAGTGAGAATTAGCTAGCATAAATCTAACAGTGTCATTTCTTATTTTTCTACAGACCTACAGTCATCCAGATCAGGGAAAAAACCTATTGGAACAGCACATCTTAGTCATACAGTGTCAAATTATTTGTATCGGCCATACAGGCACATGACTAAAGAGTTTATTTCCAATATAAAAACACTGATGGCATTGCAGTCTGTATTGAATTCATGATCTTGAAGGGTCATTTGTCAGCTCTCTCGACTGGTCTAATCTCAGTTTTCAAATCATTAACACATTTACAGTTGTGTTACACCTCAAGTCCTCTGTGCTGCAGGATGAAACAGAACTCCCTGCTGCAATGATGTCTGCAGATGATTCCTAAATACAGAGCCTATAGAAAGACTACACCCAATAAAATAAAATACATTTAAAAAAGGGTTACAAATTGATCTACACAAAAGTTTTTTTTTCAATGTCACAGTGAAAAGGAAAATGCTACAATTCTTTTTACTAATTAATAACAAATGTATAACTAAAATAGTTATTCCAAAAGTATTCACCCCCTTTGTTTAGGCAAACCTAAATAAGTTCAGAAGTAAACTTTGGCTTAACAAATCACATAAGTTATATGGACTCTGTGTGGAATAATAGAGGTTGACATGATTTTTGAATGACTAACCCTTTCCCTGTCCCCCACACATACTGTACAACATCTGTAAGGTGCCTCGGTCAAATATTGAAGATTGAACTAAAAAGACCAGGGAGCTTTTGAACGCCTCATAAAGAAGGGAAGTGATTGGTAGATGGATAACAATAACAAATCAGACATTGAATATATCTTTAAGCATGGTCAAGTTAATAATTATGCTGTGGATTATGTATTAAACCACCAAGACACATCAAAGATGCAGTCGTCCTTCTGAACTGAGCTGCTGGACAGGAAGGAAACTGCTTATGGATGTCACTATGACACCATTGGTGATTTTAAAACTGCTACAGAGTTCAACGGCTGTGATGGGAGAAAATGTAGGATGGATCAACATTGTAGTGACTCCACAATAATGACCTAAATGACAGAGTGAAAAGAAGAATAGAAATATACAGAATATGAAGATGTATGCAACATGGCACTAAAGTAATACTGCAAAAAAACACAGCAAAGGAATACACTTTTTGGCCTAAATGCAAAGGCTTATGTTTTTTTGGGCAAATCCAACACAACACATCACTGAGTAACTGCCTCTATTTTCAAGCATGGTGGTGGCTGCATCATGGTATGGGTAAGCTTGACATTGCAAAAACTGTGGAGTTTTTCAGGATGTAAAGAAATGGAATGGTGCTAAGCACAGGCAAAATCCTAGAGGTAAACCTGCGTCCGTCTGCTTTACACCAGACGCTGGGAGGACAATTACCTACAACGAAGCCAAATCTACACTTGAGTGGCCAAGTTACAGTTTGGACTTAAATTTGCTTGAAAATGTCTGTCTAGCCATGATCCCTAACACCTTGACAGAGCTTGAAGAACTTTGAAAATAATAAATGGGCAAATATTGCACAATACAGGTGTGCAAAGCTCTTATGAGACTTACCCAAGAAGACTCACAGATGTAATCGCTGCCAAAGGTGTTTCTAACATGTATTGACTCAGGGGGGTGAATACTTATCTAATCACGGTATATTAGGGTTTTATTTTTCATTAATCTAAAATAATATATATCCAAGGGGGCTGTAGACTTTCTATAGATTTGATCAAAATAATGAAAATGATGCATTGAGTGTCCATTCCACAAGAAATTAAATAAAAGAATGAAACTAACAAAACCTGGTTCAGGCTGAACTCACCGGAGAGGAAGAGAGACCCTAGACAGAGCAGGATCAGGGCACCCACAATGCATGTGTTCATAGAGAAGCCCTTCTTCTCCCCTGTCCTCTCTGCCAGTTTGAACTCCACCTCCACCTCATCTTCCTCGTCCGATGTCATTTTTGGTGCCACATTTCTCCTCCTCAGACCATCTCCTTCCTCAGCACTCGTGTCAGCTCTTCCAAAGTCAAAGCTACTGGGAGAGTCTAGCAGAAGGAGAAGGGATAAGAGCAGAAAGATTGATGATAAGCAGAGATAAATAAAATCATGCACGAAAGGTATAGAAACTTTTTTATGCAAAAGTATTAGATGGTAGAATACTCTGAATGTAGATTTGTCGTGTGTAATTGTAACGCAAATTTTGTTTTTGTAACTGTTCGTTGAGCTGTGGTGCGTTAACACTAGAACCGCCATAGTCAAACGGCCACTGACGTTTGAATTTGGATGAACTGGAGTCGGATGGCAGATCGGATATTGAGCCAGAGATTGACTATGGCGATGACAATGTGGGGTCTTCATCTGATTCTAATGTTGACTTTCTTTTACATATCTGTTTGCATTATTTTTCAAGTGTTGGTGCTTATGTTTATGGCAAATTAATTTGACTGAATTGGATTTCAAATTCAAACCTTTGGAGCATAGAGCCAAAAGAATTAAAAATGCTTCACGTTACTCTTAACGTGGAAACCATTCGCCACAAATGCCTTTGAGAAAAAAACAATCCCTTTTCATTTACATGTTTTTTCTTCTATTGTATCATTTGCCCAAAAAAACATGTACGCATTCATATTTTATCATATATTCATGTGTATTACTATGCATTTGTAAGCATTCATATTCCATAATTTATTTGACTGGATTCTATTACCTACTATTACTAATCGAATGTACAAATAAAATGTATTACATTGTAGTGTTTTTATTGCAAAAAAATGTGTTGCAGTAGACCTTTGTAGAATAATACATACGTGTATGTGCATTTTATGTACTTCAAAATATACAAATATTCAAAATAAACTAAATATTCTTAAGACTTGACTACATTCAATCAATCAAATTATAATATTTTTTACAAAGGTATTTATTTAGGTTGATTACAGCACAGTAGGTGAATCTGATGCGTAGGCTTAAAGGGACGCCAGACTGCATTCTCTAGCAGGTACTTGTAGGCTGAGAAACCCAGCAGTTCTAGTGTTAATTGTATGTCATATCTCAGAAAATGTTTCCCGATTTCCAACCTAGTGTACACATCCATACCTTTTTCCTTTGGTATATAAGTCACTTTTTCAGGCAATTCTGTCTCCTCTGTTTCCAGTGCTGGCTCTTCTGGTGCCTCCTCTGAACCAATGGTATCTGGAGGAGGACTATCAGGGGCTGGGCTTTCTGGAGCAGCAAGCAGTTCTGGGGCAGGGTCAATATCAGTGACAGATGGGGGGCCTGTTGGGGTGGGAGTCTCTGTGTGAATACTTATGTCAGGTTTGGCACTAGGGGCACTAGTTTCTAGGGCAATACTCCCAGGTACAGGGCCTGTATCAGTGTGGGTATCAAGGGTAGAGCTCTCAGGGACGGGGCTTAACTCAGGCTCAACCTCTGAGGGGGGTGGTTCTGTGAAGGATGCATCCAGTGGCACAACCAGGTCGACATGACTGACAAAGGGCATGGCAGCGAGTTGCTCATTGTCAGTGGGGGAGCTGGTTACCATAGAATGGATGATGGGGGGTTCAGGTTGAATCTCCAGGTCAGGGTCAAGGGGCACATGGCTAGTCAGGGATGGGCTTAACAGGGTAGGGCTGGAGGGGACAGGGCCCTCACAGGTATCAGGAGCCATTTCCTGGCAAACCTGGGAATCAGAGGAGAATAAAAGCACAAACCTTAGTCATTGGTAATAATGAGTTATAACCATAGACATCATATGCCATATACCATAACAGACACCATTTTGAACTTTGTATTATGAAAGATTATGATGTGAGAATGATACCCTCAGAAAGAACTGTGTTCATCAGGGACTCACAGTACAGACCTGTTGGCCCACCTCTGACAGCACTGTTTCTATTGGAGTCTCTGGGTCACTCGGCTTAGACTCCACAGTGGCCCCTGGAACATAATCATCATAACAATGTTAATAACACATTAATAACATAACATTAATTGAATAACAAATTACATCCACACACACACATGACTTCATTATGCAACATCCATACATTAGGACAATAACACAATACTCCACACAGAAAGCATAGGGAAACAGTATCGGTGTGAGATAGAGTTCAGGTACCTGCGACTTCCTCTGACAGACTAGGGACATCACAAAGACTCTCAGTCCCATCATCCACTGGACCCACACTTTCAGCAGCTTCCTGAAATGTAGAAGGCAGTAGGTTATTATGATCTCATTATGTAGAGGAATAGCATTCTCATTATCAACTCAACCTTTATCTATTCACCTCACCATTCATTAATTTAATCATTCACACAATGTGGGTAAAGCGGAAATGTAATATAAAACTCACATTGAATACTAAATCTGACATCCAATGCTGTGTTGAGGTGATCAGCCTATTCTCTTGTCATTATAGTTGGCACCAGACCTGGATTTCAAATACTTTGAGCATTTGCTTGAATCTGCCTGGAGTGCCAGATGGGCGGGGTTTGCAGTTTTAGGACTTTTGCCAGGCATGCTCAAACAGGCACATCAAGTATTTGAATTGATTTAAGTATTTGAAACCCAGGTCTGGTTGGCACACCATAGGTTGGTACAGGCTATCTTACCTCTGGGGACAGCATGGTCCAACTGGTGGTCAAGGATCCGCTGCGGCTGCTGCCTGTGCTGCTGCTGTTGTCAGACATCGCCCCCTTGAGGCTCAGCGAAGCAACTACAACGTATTCTGCAGAGGACAGAGATTAACTCACTCATGTAACAAATATGTAATTATGAATTACCCAATAAGGACTCATTGTGGTTTCACAATGTCTGCAGTATCTACATATAGGCCACTAGGACTGTGGCCTACTTACACTGGGTTTTCTCATCATGCATTTGAACAAATTCAATTCATATAGGCCTAATAAAGTATCAGTAGAGAAAAAATATAATGCCACAGTGTATTGGAAAAGTGCTTTTCAAACCAACATTATATCAGAGATCAAATTACACCAAATTGTCACCAAATTGTTGGCCTACAGTGAATAATCTGACATTAAGAGAAGAACTGTTTGAGAAATAGAATCCATAGCCTACCTTATAGCTCCAGTTGCAATAATTGTAATCTTTAGCATACGCAATAGCCTATAAACTCTATAACGATTAAGATAGGCTACATTGTTGCAACTTGAGTTGAGACATTGACAACAGTGTCAAACATTGTGAACGAATCGCGATAGAGAAAGTGGCTATTTTAAAAACAGACGGATCCTCATTATTGCTTGATTAGGGCCTCACACTGTAGCCTAAATTGTATTTATACATCTGTGCCGTTCAGATATGACCAAAAATGGTCAGATCCAGATGGCACCGAGGCTGGAGGCTAGTTGTTAACAAGGTAGCTAACAAAATCAGCGTTTTGGATTAATCTTTGACAACCAGGACGACATGTTCTCTTTTTAGTCGAGTCTTACATTTCCCTCGTGTGAATTGTCCCTGTTTGCTCCTGTGAGAGGTTAAGTAAGAGTAGACGTCATGACGCCAAACTCACTGGAAACAAATGTTTGTAGACACTATGCAGCCTACTTTGCTTAGCTTCCGATGGTAAAAGAAGAAGGCTACATGCAATCACTCCCACAGATAAGCAATCTCTTTTCCGCGTACAATAGCCACACGTTGACCACACAAAATCCTTTCCCCAAAGTAATAAAATACATGTAAATAGCATATTCTTACCCCGCTTATTTCACTTAAATTTCACCGTTTTAGCTCGAATAGTCCTCGTAATTTTATTTTACAGACAGCGTTCAGGTCGTGAACATCGGAAATTTAGGAATTCCAAGCTGCGTCACTCCAATGCTGCGCTGTCTTTTCCAATGGGATGTCAATATGGCCGTTTGCGTTACCTCCCTTAAACTGAACAACCAACCAGAGTGAAGTGTTGTGTCAGGAAAACGGCTTGATTGACGCGCGCAGGTGAAATTGGTGGCAGGTAATGGATACAAACCCCTTCTTTCACAGATGATAAGATGCTTGCATATACGGGAGGGGAGGTATTTTCAACCATCCGTACATTGACACGTCTGTACTGAGCTATATTTGTCTGGACTTCCCGTCTGACTATCCCCACTTCAACCCTGTTGCATGAGATTGCCCATCTGTTTCATTTACATTTTACATTTTAGTCATTTAGCAGACGCTCTTATCCAGAGCGACTTTTAGGGTTAAGTGCCTTGCTCAAGGGCACATCGACAGATTTTTCACCTAGTTGGCTCGGGGATTAGAACCAGCGACCTTTCGGTTACTGGCACAACGCTCTTAACCACTAAGCTACCTGCCGCCCGTTTCACAATTGCTTCCCACTTTCGTCAGATTATAAAATAAACTGTACAGTTTTGTCTCTGTCTGTGTTGGACACCTGTAGGACTATTGTAATTTATTGTAACCCTGAAATCTTCATCCCAAACCACATTTGACCTCTTAAATAAAAGCTTAAATATTGAATGCACATTTACTAAATTAAGAAAACCTATATTATGCTTGTATATAATTGTCTTTTTTAAAGTGTTTTTTTTTAACACAGAAGTTATGCATCTTGTACTTTCTGAGGGGGCACTAATGGTATTCATTACTACATTCAAAGATTGTCTATTATTTTGACAAGATAGTCGATTGACCTCTCTAAAAATGGGAATACATGTCCTCAAAGATGGAAGGCATGCGGGAGGAGGAGAGATCAGGTGGGACCATTCTAACCAAAAAGAGGGCAGACACACAGTTTTAAGAACAGGCCATATAGAAAAATAGAGGACTCATCGAGATAGATAGAGGACCCATTACAGAGTCTGTGACAGCATGGGCAGCGCCATTGAGGCTATCTCCATTTTTAAGAGGTCAATTGTCTTGTTTTTCATTGGCTGATTGCTTCCAACACATAACGTTTTAAAGTTGACTGCTTTAAAATGGTTGAAGCCCCTCAACGGCAATGTCTATGTTAAAACCGATTATAGCCACGAGGAGTCCTCTATCTCTATGACAACAGGCACAACTCCAATATAACGTTATATATTTTTTAAGTTGCCGAAATGGCACGTGCGTCCACTTTTATCTGTACATTCGTAACAACCTAACCACTCCGAAACTTATATTCGAACAAATAAGCCTCTCGTAGAAAATTAACAATTACATTTTTTGTTGACCAAATTCGACACTCTCATTGACCTCCATACCAAAATTCCTTACTAGGTGGGTTTCTTTTTTGTGGACAGATTTTGGGTGGAGTAAAACCTCTCGCTTCGCCTCTTCCTCTCTGCTACAGTGTGTAACTACACTGTAGCCTACTACACTATTCTCCCTATACCACATAGAAGTAATAATCAAGTTCAAATTGGATGAAGATAAGGGGAAATCTAGGGTAAATCTAGGCCTTCTATAGTGATGTTGTGGATCAAATTAAGCAGCTAAAATAAAAAATGTTTGCCTAACATTGTGACACAAGCGTACATCTTTTCCCCACTGCATCTCTGTCCATAAGCATTCTTAGCTTCATCTTTTATATTTCTCCTCTATTCTTTTCTCTAAGCAGTCTTCCATCTGTTGCCTAGCTCGCACCTATTTCTCGCCTTGTTCCATACCCTGGCCTTCTGTAGTCTCTCTCACCTTTTGAACTTCAGCTCCCTTCCCTGTCCTTGTTGTCCTGTACCTTGGTGTCTGTCTATCCATTCCCAGGAGCTTTTTGTTTTGCCAGTTCTCAATTGAACCTTTTCCACCAAGTTTTCATCTCATGAAGTTTCTCTATGGTTTAACAATGTGATCTTTAAGTCAATGTAATTCAACTATTTTTTTAAATCTATAATTTGTTTGACAAAAAAATACATCTTCCTCTACAAGGTAGTTCAATATGTGGAAGTATTAAAGCTACAATATGTAACTTTTGGGGCAAATTCACATAGAAATATGAGTTATAGATCTGTCATTCTCATTGAAAACAACTATAAGAAGCGGTAGATCTGTTATATGTGCGCTATTTCTATGCTTCCCGTGCTTACGTTTCGTTTTTCCGTCTTTTCCGTTTGGTTTTGTACACCAGCTTCAAACAGCTGAAAATATAATATTTTTGGCTATGGAAAATATATTTCACAGCGGTTTAGATGGTACCACGATTCTCTACAATGACTGCTTGTTTTGTCACATAAACTGAAATTAGGTTAACTATTAGAATTTTAGCAACCAGGAAATGGCAGAGCAATTTCTGCATAGTGCATCTTTAAAGTTCAACACATAATATCACAGAGTTTCTAAACCCAGAGGCGCAACATAGCGAGACTTCCTGGAATGCTTGCAGACCAGGCCGGGGTTTGGGGTTTGGGGTTTGATAAGTCAATGAGAGAAGTGAAAAATTATTCCTTAGTTGTTCATTGTTTTCGAAATCTAAAGGGACAACCTATATTTTAGTCACTGTCTTAAGTAGTGGAACATGTTATTACTCCAACCATGTGAAAGTGACACACTGACACGTTTTCATTTTCGTCAAAAACAACTTTATATGCACATGTACAGTTCGGCAGGAGAGCACCAATAAAAATATAATTAGGGATTTGAATACTAGAATGGTCATGAACCTTCTTATAATGGTCCAAAGGTCAGCCATGTTGGTCAGGGAGTTGGTCAACCATGGTTTGCCAGTGCTGTGATAAGATATTGTGTAAAACAATGAATGTGAAGAATGTCTCTGTGTTAGAATGTGTGATAGCTAGCTGGCCATACAGTTTTAGAGGAATGATTCCATTCAGAGCCGATCCTTGCCATTCTGCTAGACCAAAAAATGCTGCCTCCTGCAAAACTAGAATAATCCCTGTAAGCAAAATGACATTGAAAAGACATCTAAAATATGTTTTTTTCCAGACTTTGAAGTTGCGTTCAATTTAGGTTCTGAATGAAAGGTGAAAAGGTATTTTCCATATGTTTAAAATACCACATTTTCCATATGTAAAACATATTTTCCAGGACATTGAAAAAGCATATTTTCCAGACGTTAAAAAATATGTATTTTCCGGACGTTGAAATCAGGTTCATTTTCGGTTCTGAATGAAAGTTTAAAATACACATTTTACAGACATTTACAGACATTTTACAGGACCAAAAATCTATGTCCGTGGACGTTGAAATCAAGGCCGGTCAGGACCACACCAAATCTGAACCAAACATGGACGTCTATGATTGGTTCAGATTTGGTCCGGACTGGACCAAAAACCAATGTTGGTGGATGTGGAAATCAAGGCCGGTCCAGAACTGCACCCAAAAAATATGTCAATTTATTTATCAATAAATAAATATTGATAATGAAAAGAAGTGGATGGCGCTCAACCAACGTGAGTCAAAGTGCAATCAAAAAACGTAATCATGATTGAAAAGGAAAAGGCACAACACATACATAGGTTAGGCTACTATGGTGAGCGAGCATTGCACCTTTTAATTTTAAGTATGGATTACCCATTTATTTGTCTCTGCCTGCAAATCGTCCTCCTAAAACGTAGGTTATATCCTATAGGACTATGCAAAACGTAGCAAGTGTCACTGTCATCGTTCTTGCTGCCTCCAGTTCAGTAGCCATACCTACGAGATCAGAGTAGCCTTACCTACGAGATCAGGTGCGCATGTGGTCTCAGTTAAATAGAGTAGGCTATAGCCAATGTATACATGGGCGGAGAAGCAAGGGACAGTTGTCTTTCCAAGGAAATGTACTTCCTAAATTGGCCTATGATTAGGCTATAGTTTACTACATTGCCTAGAAATAGGCCTAAATATTGATCACCCATATTTCTCAGTCTGAAAATCTTCCCACTCCTAAAAGGTAGGCTATAAAAATAGCTCAAGAGAAATTGCAAGTCTCTCCAACTCTGCTCTCTTCAAACTGCATCTAGCATATTGGCGGAATCTCTGGTAAATTAACCTTTTTCTTAAGTTATCTTTGCGCATTTGATATTGCCTATAGGGCCCAAAATTGCTGGGACCATGGCTGGCAAGTGAGCTTTGTCACATACGCATAAAATAACATTGCGGGAATGCGGTTGGGTTCATTTACTTCTGAAACGTGACAAAACAAAGGCTACAAAACATGCCCATACAAACAACTGCTGTTATATAGTAATAATAGCCACCTCATATAGATATCTGACAAATACAGTGCGTTCGGAAAGTATTCAGACCTGTGACGAGTACTGAGGATACGAAGAGGTAGAACGCAGACGCAGGAATAAACAATGTAAAGGTTTACTTAACACTGAGCAAAAGAACAACAAGGAGCGAGTACACGACATGACACTAACAATCACACACAACACAACACTGAACAGTCCAGGGCTATTTACATTTACATTTTCGTCATTTAGCAGACGCTCTTATCCAGAGCGACTTACAAATTGTCATCACAGTCGTATTGGCACTGAAAGGTATAGTTAGACATAGAGCTGGTGCTAAACTGTAACATCCTGCTTAGTGACCAATAAAGGAGCTGCTATGGAAGGAGAAGGGATGCTATTGGTGCCAGAAGCAGACTCAGTCAAGACAGCCAATAGGCTACAGATGGGGACATGCATGGCCGTTCAATAGTTACCTTTGGTGCATTATCCCCCCCCCCCCCCCCCCTTCCCCTGTACTGCTGTTTGGAAGCAGGTTGAGACTAGGTGAGCCATGCATTGAGTCTGGATTTTGAAAACCTTAAGAAATGTTTTGTGAATCCAGACCCTGCAACTTTGGTATTAGGTAAGAGAATGCCACAAGGCTGGCTTGAGCAATGAACGGAAACGATGTGCAACAACTAGACAAACAGAGACACAGCCTGAGAGAAAGTCTGTTTGGGCCATCCAGACAGATCTGG